CGTATTTTTCTGGCGATGGGGATTCCCCCCAACTTTCCATCTGGTTACGACGTTTTGATGATGTTATGCGCATGCGCACCGCCCCTCTGACTCCCGAACAGAAGGCTAATTTCCTGATTGGTCACTTAGAGGGGGTGGCGCGGGAAAAAGTGGAGGAATTATCGAGTGACCAGCGCAAAGACTACGACGCTATTGTAAACCACCTGAAGTCATTTTTCGAAAGCCCCCAGCAGCGGCATCTAGCACGTCAGGCACTTTCGACTTGTCACCAGGAGCCCTCGGAATCCAGTACAGCTTTTGCCAACAGACTCTTGAATTTAGTTCGCGCAGCTACGGCAGGTCAGGACCCGGTTACTCAAAAGGAACGCGTGCTAGAGGAATATGTTGCCCGTTTGCGCGGTGACATACGGTACTTTTGTACGACTCGACAATCCTACCTCCTTTGAACAAGCCGTCACGCGTGCGCAAATGATAGAACAGCTGTTAGCCGAAGCGGCTAGTGACAAATTGATGCATCCTGCTACTCATCTCGGTAATCAGCAGGTTCAAGCACTCTCGGCTCAAGTAGGTCGCATGGCTCTGGATTCGCAAGCACGTACGTCGAGGAAACCCCCCAGTCCACGCTATAGACGGGTCTTTTCCCCACGGACGCCAGAGACTCGGCTGAGGGGCAACACCCGTTCGAACCGTCCAGCAGCTCCTAACGAAAAGTGTTTCAATTGCGGAGGTTTCGGCCATTTCTCACGGCAGTGCCCATCCCCTCGGACTCCGACACGGGGCGGAGGTCACCCAGTACCGGCGCAGCGCGCGTTTACTCCCATCACCCCGCCATCCGATCCGTATATGATGACCTTTCAAGACTCAGGAGCCCCAGCAAGTCTGCTCAATACAGGGCTAGATGACGTTTCATCTTCGTCTGACCGCCTTGATCCTCAATTGGAAATGCAACGTTCACAAACTCAGATAGCAGCTCTTTTGAAACGCAATCACGAGCTTTCCCAGGCGGTCTTTCATAACAAACGTTTTCAGAGTTCATCAGCAGCAGCATCAGCTTCCCTGCCCTCCGTGAGTTGTATGTTTATTGCTCTGGGTGCGATTTCATTCGTAGGAGATAGCTCGGCCACCTCTGCATGGCTTTGTCCGTTCGATCATCACGATCAGATTATTCGCGTACCTTTCTCATATAATTGCTCTCATATTTTCCCGACTATCGATTCTAACATAGACTCTGTCTCGCTTAATATTTTCCGCCCTAACACAAAGCGCTATTCTTCTCCTGCGTTTTGGTGCAAAATTATCACTACTTCCGCTTCTTATTCGGTGAACTTTTTTGGGGCTCGCACAGAGGTTCGAACTGAAACCCTGCAAACGGTATCGCTTGAGCATTGCCGCATGATGTCCGCACACCATCGATGCGAGTATGGTAGTCTGTCTCAAGGGGATAACCTCTGGCGCACCTCCAACGAGCTAGTGATCGATTGGCCCTCTGCCCCCTTTGGGTGCTGCACCCAACATACTGTGACCGTCACCAACTTACTGTTTAGTCTTTCCAACCTCGGTCTATGCCAAGCACGGCGACTGTTTAGTCTTTCCAACCTCGGTCTATGCCAAGCACGGCGATGACCATCCCGATGCGTTGGCAGGCGACATGACATCATGCAAGTATCGGGACGGTTCTTGCACGTTACGAGATGGGTCCGCTCTCATTTGGTCGCCTAGCTCCGAGGAAGCGTGTCAGTTTATTCCACTCGGTAGAATGCGAGGGGACATCAGGTCGGAGGCATATGGCTGAGCGATTCTCGGGAATTTGCTCTTTCATGGACGTCTTCTTCCGAACCCGTCTATGATTGCGGGAAGTCTCTTCGGATTACAGACCAGGGGTACGCCATCAGTGTTGTTCGTCGATCCACCCGCTCCACTTCTTCCGCAGTTGGTATGGTTACTTCCAATCAGCTGTCAGCCTAGCTTCTCGCTGTCGAAGGGTCCATGAGAACCTCTCTATTGCCTCTGTTCCAGCATGCTACCTCTTCACTCTGCGATCGTGTCAACTTATTAGATTTAGCAATTCAAACCGCCCTCACATCTCAACCCACGGTTACTGCGCGGCGTTTGTTAGGTCGTCATGACGTGGCGGCCACCTACCTTGGAAACGGTCTTACGCAAATCCATAAATGTATACCACTACCAGCAGCCAGCTGGCATTTCGCTGGTTTCAACACCACCTGCTATTCTCAGCCCATGGTAGAAATATCGCTTCCATCTGGTATCGTCCACCGGGCCTTTTCCAACATCGAAACTGCCGTAATTGAGGAGCACGCCAACGAAGTTCCTTGTCAGGTACCGACATACTTCTATATCTCAGACGGTATACGACTCCTCCGTATTGATAGTTCTTCCGGCACGACTTACCTGGTACCTCCGCACAGGATTACGCACTTCGGGGATTTGACGGATTCGATCTCGTTCAACACCACTTTCCCCTTGACCATTTTCCATAATTTGATCATCACAAACTTCACGAAATTGTGGATGAGCCTCGTTTTCGGGATTTTGGTGCCGCGCTAGGAACGGCAGCGCATTGAAGAGCATATCACCGCTGTTATCAGTAGACGGTCTACCTTTGCAGACGATCGCCATTCTTCTTCCTTCTCGGTGTGGTCACTCCTCGGCGCCTGGACTCCGTTTGATATCCGGGTTACAGTGTGCGCGTGTGTCGTTTCCTTGCACGTTCTCAAGTGCCTGCTATCTGTATATCTCAAGCACGTGCTGCCGGACGCGCTACTACCCATTACGGTTCCGCAACAGCCACTTACTGCTCCTTCAGCCCCTCCCCCAAATCCAATTCCACCAGGCACACCAGCGCCTCAGGAACCCCTTCAGAGCGCGAGGGTCTCTCCCATGACCCGGCTCGTTATCGACGCACAATCGGTGTGGCCTCCACGGGCTACCCTAGCACCTGTACACATATTGGCTTTAGAAACCTCT